GTCCCGGTGACCAATAAATCATCCACGTATATTCCAACGAGTAATATTCCACGATCATCCTTCTTGTAGAATAAAAATGGTTCAACAATGGATTGCTTCAATCCCAAATCGATCAATCTTGTACTAAGTAACCGATTACATAATCTAACGGCTTGTTTAAAGCCGTAGAGGCTTTGAGGTAGTAACAATACGATTTCATTTACAGAATTTACACCCAACTCCTTCAATACTTGATCCCGTATCCCCATCCCTTGTAAGATCTTAATATACATGGGAAATTCCTCTTCAGCGGATGCATTAACGTAAGCATTAGGCACGACTTCGTGTCTAGCTATTACCTTCCAGTGTTGCGCCATTGCCGATATCACTTTGGCAGTGATCATTTCCATGACAGGCGCATATATAAGCATGAAATCCTCACCAAAGACTTGTTCAATTCCGCATGCAACCATTCTTGCTTTGTGTCTTTCTATTCCACCTTGTGCGTCGGTCTTGGTCTTAAAAACCCATTTGGTATTTTCATGTCTGTTGTCTTCATCACTGATTTCCACGTGCCGTTCTGCTCTAATGGGTCAAGTTCGGACTTAATCGCAACAGTCCATAGGTCTTTACCCTTGGTCTTCATTGCTTGATTGTAGGTTCTAGGATCGTTGATCACTAGATTGGCAGTCTCCTCATTGCTCTTTTGCTTTGAAGTTTGTTGGTAGTCATCTTCTCAGCAGTTTTCGTATTGTTCTTCTTGTTCGAAGCCTTGTTCGACCTGGACCTCTTTGTCACTTCAATTTCCTTGTCTCATGATGGGTGCTGGCCATCCATTGCTCCTCCATCGTCCTGATTTTGAAGCACATTTTGTGCTCTCGCTTGCAACTCTGCATTTTGGGCTTCTGTGAACCTCTCTATGGACTTCAAGTGAGTGGTGGTAATCACCTTCTTCGAGTCATGTAGGTAAACTATGTATCCTTTGATTTCATCTGAAATCCGCAGAGAGTACCTGACTCCGAACGCGTCTTTAAAGCTGATCATGCTTTCCCTGGGTCTCTAAACATTCTGCATAGCGATCCGACTACAGCTATGTCTCTCACGCTTGCTGTGCTGCCAGTCAAAGCCTCAATTGGTAACGTCCTTCCAGCATTCGATCTGGTTGGGCTTCTGTTCAGGATGCAGCTTTCGTATTTCACGGCTTCGCCCCAGAATTGTAGTGGTAAGTTGCTGACAAACAGCATGCTTCTCGCCATACCCATGATTGTTCTGTGCATTCGTTCGGCCTTGCC